ATCGTGCAAGTAAGTCTGCGTGGCTGCGGGCAGCGAATACCCACGTAAGGAATACAGGGGCGTGTACCAGGAACTTTGTAGCCAGGGGGGGGGGGGGTCTAACCATAAGCCCAAACTTGCGAGCACGCGAAGGGGGGTCTGGGCACTTCGGCCCAGAATTTTTTTTTTAATTAGACTCCTTAGTATGCGTTTTCTGCACGAGCAGGGGGTGGCTTCAAACGGCCTTCCAGCGATCATCGCGGAATATTGCAAAAGGATTGCGCGCATGCAGTGTATATGGTTGAAATTCTTCCTTGGTTCAACATTTTCATCTGCCAATGCCAACTTTTATAAAGATATCATACAGGTCCTGTAATGTATATTCTCAAATTTTGCGACCATCAGTGAGTGGGGCGGAACGAGGGAGCTCAGGGTAGCGGTACGGTCCAGCATACTCAGATAGTTACGCAGGGTAAGCGTTCCGGCGCAGTACCGCTGTGGGGATCATAGACGCCTATCAGCGCGCCCGGTCCATCAAGCCTTGCAGGCGGAAGCGAATTTATACGCATGTGTGGACGTGGGCCTCTTGTTATGCGGCAGAGCTTGTGGCGGCCTCTCAGCCTGGTGAGAACTGTGCAGGCCGGTCTTCGCGGAGCGTGGAGCGCGAGTGGGTATCCTGTACCATATCGGATGGATCACACGAGGTAGATATTCGCAGTCTGCCTCAACACTTACTGAGGTCGGTCAAACTAGAAGCTGTTGGCACAGTTTTTGGCTGTACGTGCCCGCAATCTTTGTATCATGTCTCTCTGGATTACATGTTTGGCTCCCTCTGTGGCAGGAATGGCAATATGCCTGGCTGGACATCAGTGCAAGCACCTGCTCTGGGCGGCAGAGGGCACCAACCGCGTCGATTGAACGTGCTCGATCTAACGAAAGTCACCAGTATATGTACGTCGTTTGTTACTCCACCAGGGGCGGCGCCAGTCGTCACGAGGTCATCACGTCTAAGTCGTTCATTTAAAAAAAGATATAAATTAATAAAAATAAATATAAAATAATAAAAATTAATTAATCGATGATGAATTAGGATAACATTGCCTTGCCATATAGTGTCACACTTGATTAGTCAGCACTTTGAGGTGACACGTCAACAGGTCATTG